TTGGATGGAAGAAGAGTTGGATCTTCAATCCTTTGACTATGGAAGCTCTTAATCTCAGAGCCAAGGATCTCTACATCAATCTCAAGGTTTATCCCTTATCTCATGAGTTTGGTTTGATTCCTAAGTCCTAAGCCATACTTAGTGAAACTAGCTTATAACATAGGCATATTGAGCCTAGTAAGCCACCAAAACTACCATAGAAATGTTTGGCACATGCAAGATGCACCACTCCACAAATCTAAGCTTGAAGCCTAGGATTTCCCTAGAGCATAGGTTCTGTCGCCCCGTGTGACGGAGTGTCCGTCAACTCGATGGAGTGTCCATCCGCCCTTAAGAAACCACTGAGGAACCTTATCCCCTATCAGCTTAGCATAGTGGAGCATCCGCGGTACTTCGCGGAGAGTTTGCTAACCCATACAGAGAGCAACTTAAGTATCAGAGAGCACCTAACAGCATAATGGAGCGTCTATCGTTCACGGCTGAGCATCTGTTGAATTATAGGAATAAATACCCAGCAACCCGAGAGCACCCAGTTTGTACTGGAGAGTCCGTCAGCTGATCGGGCTATCCAATGTGGGTAGAGAGCCCTAGAACTACCTAAGTCCCAGAACATATCGGAGTCTCCGTGAACTCCACGGAGCGTCCGCCAGTCACTGTAAGAATGAGCTAGCGTAAGCAACCTACCCAAGTAACCAACCAACAACCAAGAGAGCTTAGTCATACCCAATATATTAATAGAGCTACAGTTAGATGTCTCTCTCTTAGTCCAAAAGTGGTAACCTGATCCTATCCACCCATGTTCCTCCTCATCATTCCGATCATCGATGTATCTCTTAGTTGACCTCTCATATCCTTTTAGGATCGTCTCAAGTAAGGAACGTGTATAAGTTGCCATCGTCAGCCTCGAGATGCTAGATCGGCAGCACCATCAGGCAGGCACCCCACTATTATGGACCCTACTTTTGATACTTATCAAGTCACATTATGAGGTATGCATTGCATGTAGAGTTGGATAATGAACTCTTTCACATAACACTTAGAGTAACTCTTTAATCTGTTAGAAGCCTCTCATCTACACAACGGGAATGGGAACGCTTAATGCTTATTGCTTAGTTGCTTGTGCAACGGTAGAAGTCGAGCATGAGAAGGAAACTCATACCCGTGCATGTAGTATGCTACACCTAAATAATTAACTATTAAAACCAATGAGGGTACAACTTGACTCATCTTACTAATCTAGCTAAGGGATAATATCCCTAATATGATAATCTTGATGATAACTTGGATATCTTGCTCATGCAAGGGGTAGGTCGTCGTGAGTGTGGGATCTTAGTGACATAGCTTGTGGAGTAGTAAGGACCGTGTATTGGGATACATAAGTCTGAGTAACCAACCGTACAGACCACATGTCGTGGATGGGGTCCACAAGCCAAGTAACTAGTTGCGACTTGTTTATACGTGAAACTGGCAAGGGGGGTGGCATCGGTCAGGAATGTCCGGGACATTGACCGGGAACCTTGTCGAACCTTTTGTCAGACACTCGGGCTAGATTAGGGAAAGGTTAGAGACTTGAGGCAACCCTTATCTCTGGTGCACGAGATATGGAGGTTCGTGCCATTTTCCGTGTGGGTACAGTTGTACACCTCTGTAGAGTCTTGAAAGCCTAGAGTCCCTCATGATGGAACTATTCGGTTGTTCTTTCTTTCTATACCCTTGGTAGAATGAATGATGAACTATGAGCACCTTTGTTATAACAATAAATGCTTTAATCCTAACATTGAGCATAGCATGTCATACTCTTAATGAATATCATTGCTTTTCGCACTTATACAAATGCCTTATAATTATCCTGTCCATCCACCAAATACGATATGTTGAAATTAAGTCTTGCGAGTACGCAATGTACTCACGACATGACCGTTAAGTTGTTTTGCAGGAATGTCGTAGATTGATGTGAGCTAAGTCTCCATCACCGCCGCCTAGTAGCATCAGGGAAGGGCGAACCCGAGCATGCTGCAAGTTAACTCCGAAACCTTGTTTGAGTGATTTTGAGTGACCAACCTTAGAAAGGGTACATGATCTCATCCATCGGTTGGACTAGGACATGTAATTCATGTAAACTTTCTCTTTTAATTTACCCAGTATAAGATGTTTTGAGCATTATTCATTAGCATGTGTTGGTTTGGTATGTGAACTGTTGTGTGTCACTCAACCTGATCCTAAAAAGGAGTTGCTTAGTGCGCTCCTGAGGGCCTCAAAGTCATGAATTCGACGACCCCCGCGATAGATCTCGTCAGAGACCTCAGTTACACCAGCCACCATGGAGGAGCAACGAGTCAGCAAAATCGAGAGAGTGCCTTATGTTGCTGCGAGAAGGTTGAGAGTTGAGCTTTAGTTCAGATCCATGAAGGAGAATATATATAGCATTATTTCATTAGCCATCTGCGTGATTTACATTGGTAGTTTAATGGAAGAGGAAGGGAAGCCAAATAAATTTATGGTCTTCGCCAGTTCGTGTCCATGATAACTATTGAAACCACTTGCATGGAGTAATAAATGGAAATTAGGTGTACGGGGTGGAGGTGGATGCGTGGGCCAGTAGGAAATGATGACGTGGAGGACTGTGGATTGAGAAAAATTGCTAGTAGGGTTTCGCTTATAAGAGTATATGATTACATTATATATGGCTAATAACAATACTATAGCTTGGTGTATCTGTTTCTCTAACTAGGTTATTGCATTATATATAGCTAATAACAATACTATAGCTTGGTGTATCTGTTTTTCTAACTTGGTTATTGCATTATATATAGCTAATAACATACTACAACTTGGTTTCTCTGTTTCTCTAACTCGGTTAGCCTTTTCTTTCTCTATCTTATCCTATGTGCTGTGCTTTTTACTTGCAGATATCACCGACCCTATAGCAGCATTTTTGGATATGAAGACACGAATCTCTGAAGCACAAAATCTGGATACTCAATGTGCTGACATTGTGTCCAAAATCGAGTTCATTCAACATGCAGATGAAGAGATAGACTGGTACAAAGAACTAGAAAAGGCTGGTGTCACTCTTCAAGATGAAAGAAGTATAAAAGCAAAAACTCTGCAGAAAGATCTTCAAGAATATTGAGGAATCTTAAGACTGAACTTGCCCGTCGAGCGGAACCATTTATATATGATAAAGTAAGCATAACCTAAAACATCTAAGATTTTCATGTAATATCAAGTGTAAATCATAAAATATTGGTTCTATTTTCTTATGTACAGGGGATGCTCTCGAGATACTGAAGCACATTGAGGATAAGGCTACCGTGGAGGAAGACGGGTACCAGCACTGATGTAGCAGAGTGTAGAGGACATGAAAGTCGAGCCTCCTCAAGTGCTACCTCTGCAACCTGCTCAAGTGCTACCTTTATTTCCACTATCACCACACTTCGGATTCATCCCAAGTAGTAGTGCTCCCGCCTGCACCACCTAGCCCACCTAGCTCGCTTGCGCCACCTAGCCCACCTAGCCCGCCCAGCCCACGTACGCCACTTAGCCCACCCAGCCCACCAGATTGAAACAAGGCAGACAATATATTATATATAAGTCTGACTCTAACAATGTAGACTATGACCCTACACAAGACCTATAGATTTAGGTCTTGTTTCAGTTCCAAACATTCTGTATGTTTAAGTTCCTATAAGATATGCACTCATGTAGACGATATACATACATATGTCATAGTTGTATACATCAATGTTTCGTCTCATACAAAGCTATATACATCTGCCTCAGCAAAGCTATATACATCATGCTTGTAGCTTAATTCCTATACATGTGTCTCGTGCATCATGTCTGTAGCTTAATTGTTAGCGCATGTACTAGGCTGGTGCATGGGTTTTTTTTCTCAAATACGCAAAAGATTTGTGTATGGCTGATGCGTTTTTAAAACTGCTTCTATGAGATATGTACTGATGTATAGACTATATACAACTATGCTATATCATCTCTCATATAGGTTATACATACCTGTATGTGGTGTATATATAAGCTCATGCAAATCTATGTTTTTTTTTTGCGAATTACACAAGTACACGCTAAACACGCACGCACACTCACCCCTATAAACGGACTACGCAAATCCTATCCCTATGAGCATCTTCAAAAGTCTACGCCGACACATCTCGATATTGACGAAGTCACCATAGGTGTCGACAGGAACGTCACCACCATTAAAAGCACAATACCGTTAAATCCTAAAATTAATTCAGGAAAATAAGAACACCCGTACCATGTTAAAGACTGAACCAAGTGAACAGGTTCCACAGTAAGAAACCTAATCAAGTGAGACTGAACCCGAACCTGTCACCCGAAACCGAAACCAACTGAGACTTATGAACCCAAAACCAACTTGAGACTTTGAACCTGGACAGGTCCATCGTAAACTTTGAACCTGTAGTCAGGTTCCACCGTAAAGAACGTAACCAATCAGTTCGCATACAAATCACTGACAGTAAAAGAAGTTTGTTCCAGACGTCCATGCCTTAATTGTGTATGCCCTATAGTCATAGTAAAAGAAGTTTTAAGAGAATTAAGGTCCCTTATACCAAACCGCTTTCACCAATTCACCGTTCTTTGTTCAGCCGATTATTATCGTTCTTTGTTCAGTAACCATTTTGGTCCTGTCTTTGCGACCGCAAGAAGCGGCAAACTCAGAAGATCATATTCGTACGTCATACTGATGAAAACACTACAAGACACATATAGGCCACAGCAAACCACATGCTATATATTAGGCTTTACCAACTTTATTATAACAAAGAACACTCCCACCCGACTCGTTTACAGACACTTCATGACCCAAGAACCACAGCAACTGCGAATTAAACTTACAGCACCAAATTCGTAGAACAAAATCATGACACTGAAAACATGCATACATACTGGACTCATGAACAAGCAAACGGGATCATGGACAGGTCGAATAAGTGCGCGTGCATCCATTCACGTGTCTAGTGATCCCTGGTGATGGTGGAGGAGTCCTTGCTGTTGGTGTTGGTGTTGCCCTGCTTGCTGTTGTCCCCGCCCATCCCCAGCGTGTTCATCACCGCGTCCTTGGCGCCCGCCGCCGCGCTCTTCACCTGCTCAGTGGCCTGGTAATCGAAGCACAAGAGAAGCCATGAGAAACCTGCTGTTGGGTTCAATTTCAAGGCATGCCGAAGTTCATTTGTGCGCGTGCGCGCGTGAAATGGGCGTGACTGATGGACCAACCATACCTGCTCGATGACGCCGCCGGACTTCTCCTTGCCGGAGACGACGGTGTCCTTGGCGGCCTCCGTGGCCTCGGCGGCCTTCTGCTTGGCGGCCTCCGTCGTCTCGGCGGCCTTCTGCTTGGTGGCCTCCGTCGTCTCGCCGGCCTTCTGCTTGGTGGCCTCCGTCGTCTGGCCGGCCTTCTGCTTGGCGGCCTCCGTCGTCTCGGCGGCCTTCTGCTTGGTGGCCTCCGTGGTCTCGCCGGCCTTCGGCTTGGCCTCCTCGGTCTTCTGGCCCAGGTAGCTGCCGGTGTCGGACGCCTTCTGCTTGGTGGTCTCCTTGGCGTGCTGCGCCGTGTCCTTGGTCGCCCCCATCGCCTGCCCAGTCTTCTCCTGCATATTCGAATTCATAAGCAGATAGAATGAAAGCAACGGCGTGATCAACAGCGCTGCAAGATGAAGATGGCCGCCGTACCTCGGTGCGGGCCTTGGTCTCGCCGGCCTGGTAGCTAGCCTTGTCCTGGTGGGAAGCCATGGCAGGGGTCTCTCAAGCTGGTGATGCTCAGCTCGCTCTGGAACTGACTAAACCGGCCACGACTCGATCGATCAATGCAAATCACTCGGAAGATTGGAGAAACAGAGAGCAGTGATCACTTTTAAATAATTGGCTACTGATGGTGAGGATGCTCAGCAGAAGATTTTCAATAACAAAGTACTGATGGCTAGGGGCTTTACAGCGGGCTATATTTATAAGCTGCAGCCGCGGGGCAGTCCCCGGGACACGTAGCGTGGTGAGGCTCCTACGATGGCCACGTAGAAAGGACACGCGTTGTGTCACGGCTCCGTACCTTCGCGAAGCCTGCCCATGTAGATGGAGCTGAGATTCGTGCGCGCCCCCATAGACGTCGGTCAGCTGGTGGTGGAGACGCTAACTTCTCGGAGAGAAAAGGCCAAGCACAAGGAGATAAAGGAACCCCCGGCGGTACTGTAGTCTGTAGGCCGGATCAAGTACAAGTGCAAAAATCCAGTGCGTTCCTCTCGATGCGATGGTGCACCGCTAGCGACGATCGTGCACGTAGGCCTGATGATGATCACGATCGATCGATCTCATCACCAGAGCAGATGGATAGGGAAATGTCGGCCGTTGCGAGAGTACACAAGTTGGATGCGGCTTTCCTCTGCTCGATATTGGGTAAGCAACTAGCTTTGCTGGTTGGTTTCAGCCAGCTCAAATTAGTCAGCCAACAATATTTTCCTCTGATAATAAATTAGTACCAATCAGTTTAAATCAGCTCAGAAGTCAACCAGCGAACAGGCCGAGAGTACTATAGTATAGGGAGTAGGACACTTGGGGGTGCGCGCGCGAGCGCCAGGTGGCCTGGCCACGCCCATGCCGTGCATGCGCTCGCTTCGACGAACGTGTATCGTTTCGATTTGTGACGTGCACAAGCACAACAAGCCTAGCGTGGTACGGTGAAGACGACAGGTGCCGCTGGCTGCCACAGAAATCAGTCAGAAAAAAAAGAGTCCGCTGCGGCTGATCGGCAATCGGCGTTTTTTTAATTTATTTTGCTACGTATCTACATATATTATTATAAATCGTTTTAAATTTTTTTCGAGTTGCTATGCCGTCTGGACAAGATCTGTCCGAACTATACAAGCGGCGGCGCCGGTGGCGGGACGCGCCGGGGGCGGGGTGGGGTGCCGGGGACAAGATTTCGGGAAAATTATATGGAGCATTTAGAAAATCTTACAGGGGTGGGTGGCGCCGTGGACGGGCGGCGCTAGGTGGACGCGCTACGGTGGCGGGGGCTTGATGGGGGGAGGAGAGGGGGGGGGGGGGCGGGCGTGCGGTGCGGCGTGTGTGTTGTTTGCGCGAGGGCGAGGGCCGGGGGTGCGGGCCGCTGGGGTCATATGAAGGGATATGCCGAGTGCCAAGATCGGGGGCACTCTGCATGATTTTTTTATTTTCATTACGGCCCGATACTGTGCAGTGGGGCCGGTAGACGAATTTGCCGAGTGTCCCCTATATGACACTTGGCAACTTTTATTTTCGCCAAGTGTCAGGTAGAAAACACTCGGCAAAATAAATTGATATTTCATGCCCCCCATCCTCATTCTTCATAGCGTGTTCTACTAATTTTGTTAGGATATAATTTTAAAATACCTTGTCAAATTCACTCAACAATGCATATTTGATTTTTCTACGAATATTAATCCATTATTTCATGCAATTATAGCTCAAATTCAATTTATATCAATTAAAATTATATAATTGCAGTTAATAAATTAAAATTATCAGATGGATCCGAAAAATTACCAAAATTTGACGTGAACCAATCTATGTTGTCTATTGCCTATATAAAAACTTTTAAAGTCAAACCTCAATTCAACCGTCATTTTGACTCCAAATCTTACCGGATCCTTCTCAACGCTGCGATTTTTCTTTGGATATGTTTCGGTTTGTAAAGGTCGTACGTGACAAATTGAGCGAAACCTTCTCAATTTTTTCCACAGTCTCCACGTATGATATCATGAGATTTTGACAAATCTCGTGATTTTCAGACTTCGTTTGTTTTTTTTAGAATTTAAAAACCATTCGGCCACACGTTCGTGGTCGTGTTTCCTGAACAAAATGTTCGAAAATTCTATTCATTTTCCGAGTAAGGCCCCAAAATTGATTCAATAACATGAATATGATTTCTCCACTCAATTTATTCTATTATTTGAATCACTTGCAGTTCAAATTTGACTTAAACCAAAAAAATCCTCTAAATACAATAAATTAATTAAATAAAGCAAACAGATTGAGAAATTTGCCAAATTTTAACATGTAGTTCCACATGTTGTATGTGGAGAGTAGAAAAAGTTTGGAGGACAGGAGAGGGAAAAAATTATTATTTTACCGAGTGCCAATAAAAAACACTCGACAAAAATATCATTTTGCCGAGTGTCTAACAAAAGCACTCGGAAAAAATATTAGGTTGCCGAGTGTCAAGTAAAAACACACGGCAAACCTAGGCTTTGCCGAGTGTCTCTAACGGACACTCGCAAAGTTCTAACGGCAGGGCGGCGCACCCAACGGCCGTCACATAGTCGCCGCACGCCCAGCGCACGTGCCTATACTTTTGCCGAGTGTCCGTGTTTGCCGAGTGTTTCGGTGTAGTTTGCCGAATGTTTTTTATTTGGCACTCGGTAAAGTTGGGTTTTACCGAGTGTTATATGTTTGCCGAGCGTCGAATTAAAAACACTCGGTAAACAGGATATTTGCCGAGTGCCCGATGAAATGCACTCGGCAATTTTACTGTTTCTAGTAGTGACTGTCGACAGGAACGTTGCCATCATTGAAAGCACAATATCATTAAATCCTGAAATAAATTCAGAAAAATAACACAATGCCGTTAAATCCTGAAATAAATTGAAAAAAAAAAGAGCACCGTATAGGGTCATTATAAGGAACCTAATCAACTGAGACTTACAAACCAACTGAGACTTTGAACCCGAAACCAAATGAGACTTTGAATTGGATGGACAGGTTCCATCGTAAACTTTGAACCTGGTGGACAGGTTCCACCGTCAAGAACGTAACCAATCAGTTCGCATACAAATCACTGACAGTAAAAGAAGTTTGTTCCAGACGTCCATGCCTTAATTGTGTATGCCCTATAGTCATAGTAAAAAAAGTTTAAGAGAATTAAGGTCCCTTATACCAAACCGCTTTCACCAATTCACCGTTCTTTGTTCAGCCGATTATTATCGTTCTTTGTTCAGTAACCATTTTGGTCCTGTCTTTGCGACCGCAAGAAGCGGCAAACTCAGAAGATCATATTCGTACGTCATACTGATGAAAACTACAAGACACATATATAGGCCACAGCAAACTACATGCTATAAATTAGGCTTTACCAACTTTATTATAACAAAGAACACTCCCACCCCGACTCGTTTACAGACACTTCATGACCCAAGAACCACAGCAACTGCGAATTAAACTTACAGCAGCAAATTCGTAGAACAAAATCATGACACTGAAAACATGCATACATACTGGACTCATGAACAAGCAAACGGGATCATGGACAGGTCGAATAAGTGCGCGTGCATCGTATAAGTGCGCGTGCATCCATTCACGTGTCTAGTGATCCCTGGTGATGGTGGAGTCGTCCTTGCTGTTGTTGGTGTTGGTGTCGCCCTGCTTGCTGTTGTCCCCGCCCATCCCCAGCGTGTTCATCACCGCGTCCTTGGCGCCCGCCGCCGCGCTCTTCACCTGCTCAGTGGCCTGGGAATCGAAGCACAAGAGAAGCCATGAGAAACCTGCTGTTGGGTTCAATTTCAAGGCATGCCGGTGTTCATTTGTGCGCGTGCGCGCGTGAAATGGGCGTGACTGATGGACCAACCAAACCTGCTGGATGACGCCGCCGGACTTCTCCTTGCCGGAGACGACGGTGTCCTCGGCGACCTTCTGCTTGTCGGCCTCCGTGGTCTGGCCGGCCTTCTGCTTGGTGGCCTCCGTCGTCTGGCCGGCCTTCTGCTTGGCGGCCTCCGTCGTCTGGCCGGCCTTCTGCTTGGCGGCCTCCGTCGTCTCGCCGGCCTTCTGCTTGGCCTCCTCGGTCTTCTGGCCCAGGTAGCTGCCGGTGTCGGACGCCTTCTGCTTGGTGGTCTCCTTGGCGTGCTGCGCCGTGTCCTTGGTCGCCCCCATCGCCTGCCCAGTCTTCTCCTGCATATTCGAATTCATAAGCAGATAGAATGAAAGCAACGGCGTGATCAACAACGCTGCAAGATGAAGATGGCCGCCGTACCTCGGTGCGGGCCTTGGTCTCGCCGGCCTGGTAGCTAGCCTTGTCCTGGTGGGAAGCCATGGCAGGGGTCTCTCAAGCTGGTGATGCTCAGCTCGCTCTGGAACTGACTAAACCGGCCACGACTCGATCGATCAATGCAGATCACTCGGAAGATTGGAGAAACAGAGAGCAGTGATCACTTTTAAATAATTGGCTACTGATGGTGAGGATGCTCAGCAGAAGATTTTCAATAACAAAGTAGGAGTACTGATGGCTAGGGGCTTTACAGCGGGCTATATTTATAAGCTGCAGCCGCGGGGCAGTCCCCGGGACACGTAGCGTGGTGAGGCTCCTACATGATGGCCACGTAGAAAGGACACGCGTTGTGTCACGGCTCCGTACCTTCGCGAAGGCTGCCCATGAGCTGATTCGTGCGCGCCCCCATAGACGTCGGTCAGCTGGTGGTGGAGACGCTAACTTCTCGGAGAGAAAAGGCCAAGCACAAGGAGATAAAGGAACCCCCGGGCGTACTGTAGTCTGTAGGCCGGAACAAGTACAAGTGCAAAAATCGAGTGCGTTCCTCTCGATGCGATGGTGCACCGTAGCGACGATCGTGCACGTAGGCCCGATGATGATCGCGATCGATCGATCTCATCACCAGAGCAGATGGATAGGGAAATGTCGGCAGTTGCGACAGTACACAAGTTGGATGCGGCTTTCCTCTGCTCGATATTGGGGGTGGTGCGGTGGAGCAATGCGCGCGCGCGAGCGCCAGGTGGCCTGGACACGCCCATGCCATGCATGCGCTCGCTTCGACGAACGTGTATCGTTTCGATTTGTGATGTGCACAAGCACAAGTGCACAACAAGCCTAGCGTGGTACGGTGAAGACGACAGGTACCGCTGGCTGCCACAGAAATCAGTCAGAAAAAAAAAGAGTCCGCTGCGGCTGATCGGCAATCGGCGTTTTTTTTAAATTCATTTTGCTACGTATTTAGACATATTATTATAAGTCGATTTAATTTTTTTCATTCATTTTATTATGCATCTAGACATATTATTATATCTAGATACATAATAAAATAGATGTATCAAAAAAGTCAAAACGACTTATAATTTGGAACATACCAATTACTTCTAACAATTATAATCATTTTGTAAAGAGCCAATGACAAGTACTCATGTAGACAATAATTATGTATTGCATTCCATGTTGTGGCTAGCTACCACACGACATAATTAACACTTAACAAGTTATCCTCACGATGATAAGTTGTTAGCCAATGATAACTTAACATTGTGGCCTTAGTGCAACGCACGGACATATATCTAGTCCCATTCTAAATATTGGATAATCAATATAGAATTTGCGGATAATCCATATCCTCCAAATTTTACCCCGTTCTATTCCGCATCCGCAAAAAAAAAAAAGATTTGGATTACCCATACCTGTATAGGTATTAAAAGTTCTCCATATCTTCAAAATTGAGATTCATATCGGATGGGAGCAGAGAATTGTCCGCACCACTTTCACCTCTATTATATACACGTTACACGTAAACTGCAAAGCTGCCAAGTTCTGCAATTCAAAAAAAAAAAAGAGAAATCTCTTCGTCATAATGTGCAGGCCATGAATTGTTCCACGGGCCGTCAGCTTGAATTTCTACAATCGTACTTACTGGGCCTTTTCAGTCTATTTTGGGCCATCGCTAAAGTCTGGTCTCCTAGCAGGCCTAGCCACCACGCCGAGAAACTAGCTAGCCAACAGCCCAAGAAGTTTACGTGGCTCGGCAAAGCGTTTTGTATAGTCAGTCTCATTCCTCTCCTTTCTAGTAGGGTTGTTCACATTTTGCTAAAAAAAAAGTAGGGCTGTTCACATTTCGAAATAAAAAAAACTTTCCAGGTTGACCCTCAAAGCGGAGGATGTTGTGTGACAACCCCCAAATAAAGTGTTCTATCTTATTTGGCCAATTCGTTTTACATTTACGATAGTAGTGTAGAGGCCATAATTTCGTTCCATTATTTAAAAACATATTTACGTTGGAATATTTCATTCTCTCCTGGTCAATACTAGATACTCACCAATTTCTACACGAATTGTTTGGCATATGTAGATTTAGGTCTTGTTTCAATGCATGTGTATCCACTTTAATTCACATAGGTTGGAGTGGATTGGAGTGAAATTAAACTAAGTACCATTCAATCCACTCCAACACATGTGGATTGAGATGAATACATGCATATGCAAATAAGGCCTTAACTGGAAAGCAATAGTATAGTCGGCCCAAATTTTTTTTTTTTGGCAATTTGGCCCTTTTTTGAAGAATATTCACGTTTACACCCTGGGCGACGTATACTGATCTTTGGACCCTACGGGTCAGCGTCAGGACATACGACGTTGAGGTAACATGTCTTGGCGCCGTAGGTCTTGGCGCCGAGGTGCGTGGCTGGGCACAGCGTAGCATCCGAGGTGGCGCTCATGTGGCCGGTACCTCGGCGCCAAAGATCTTGGCGCCGACCTTGGAGCTAGAGATCTTGGCGCTGAGCTCGACGCCACATACCCTGGCGTCGAGCTTGGATTCAAAGGCCACGGCCGAGTTCCCCTGGCCGAGGCCCTTTTCATTTGTTTCTTCTCCCTCTTAGGTTCTTGCTCTCCCCAACTCACCCAATCTCTTGAATCGATGAATTTGACCTTACAAGCTTGGATTTAATACATAGATCTTCGAGAGCAAGGTATCCTCTCTCCCCTCCTTATTTTTTATACATTGATTTCGTAAATATTACGTGTATTTTGCAATCATAGATACGTTATTGCTTAGTGTTTGAAGCGATTATTAATTTTTGTATTATGTAATGATAGAATGCTAAGGCGTGGTAAAGCTAGTAAACCAAGGTAATCTCTGTCCATCGTGTTATATTATGGGTTCATTTATGTGCAACAAATGGAAAACCCTAGGTTTAGTGTTTAATGTTCATTGCATTTGGTACTTAGAACGAAATTTGTTCAATTGTAGGAAGGGCCCGTTAACGGGAAATGCATTCGACCCAAAGCCTCTGCCTAATGGTGTTCTAGTTCCCATATGCTTTTGTTGTGATCCTTACAAGGTAGACATTTCTGAAGAAGAGGAAACCTATAGGCATAGGTATTGGATGTGTGTCAATTTTGTGTTTGAGCCTACACTTCATCAGCACATCATTAACTTGATGGTGAGAAATCGATATTGTGTAGTACTTATTTTGTGTCATATGAAATAATTATTGATTTATTCGGTGCCTATCATTTCCATCTATTGCAGACCCCTCCACCGCTCTGTGATTTTGAGCAGTAGATCGACACTAAGATCAAGGAGCTGGACAAGCGGCTTCTGCAGGGTCCGAAGGAGTGGGATGCGGAGCGCTTGGAGATGTTGGAGAAGAGACGCAGAGAGGAGACAGTAGAAAAGGAGCACACGGAAGAGTAGGAAAGGAGGCATGTTGCTGCCTACAGGGAGGAGAGGGAGAAGAAGCTTGAGCCTGCACGCCGAGCGAGAGCAGCGATGAAGGAGAATCCCGATGCCACTACTACACATAAACTTAAATGAGGCATTTAGAAAAAGGCCTCTGAGGCGGTTGGGGCAATTGCCCGCCTCGGTTGTTCATGACCGGGCAGCCGGCCTAGCAACGGCCTCAGTTAATGCTTAACCGAGGCGAGCAACATAACAAAACTATCTCGGTTAATGCCTATTAACCGAGGCGGTTGTCCTAACACAACCGCTTATAAGGCCCACCTCCAAAAAGCCCTAGGTCCAATAGGCCCAGGCAAGGCCCAGTAGCCTTCTTCGAATATAAATACATCACCTTAGGGTTTCTCTTCTCATTCACCACTCCTCTTTCTGTTGAGACCGAGCCGAGCGGTGCCCTCCTCACGAGTCGTGACTTCCCTCTTCTAGACCAAGTCCGAGCCACGCTGAGCCTCCTTCCATGTGACCTCCCTCTCCTCACGAGCTCCCTCTCCCTCCTCACGACCTTCAAGCGATGGGCACCCACCGCTCTGGTGGATTGAGGCGGGCTCCCTCTCTCTTTCCCGATGCTCCCTTCCTCTCAGCACGGGACCATGGTGGCTTAGTGAGGGGTGCGTGGCGGCGAGTGGCGCGGTGGTCGTGGTGGAGAGCGGAGGGGTGAGCGGTGGCAAGCCACGTGGCTCCCCTCAGATGCACGCGCAAGGAGCAGGAGCGTGGGCAGCGGGCTCGATCCAGTGGCACAGTAGGTACACAAATCCCTGTCCCTCTCTCTTCCCTCTCTTCATCTCCCTCACTCTCCTTTTGTAGATCCGGTGGAGCAGATGTAGATCTAGTGGAGCAAAGGCAGATTTGGTGGCTAGACTCTTAAGTAGGGGTAGATCTGGGTGATGCCACGATAGGAGCATGGAGGGCAGCCGGTGTTGGCGTGGGTGTGGATCTGGCTCTGGGGCTAGGATTGGGCTCGCTGGTAGGCTCGGAAAAGGGCTCACCGGTGGGCTCTGTTTTTTTTGTTTTTTTAATCCATTAACCGAGGCGGGCATTTGCAAGACGCCCGACTCTGTTAATCTATTAAGCGAGGCGGTTGGCCAACCGCCTCTGTTAAGACCTGATTAACCATGACCTTTTGATGGAGGTGGTTGGCTTGCCCGCCTCAGTTAATCGATTTTGCCTGCCTCGGTTAAGTTTTGTGCAGTAGTGTGCCCTAAGGAAGGGAAAGTGGCCTTGTTGCATTCAGTAGTCTTCTTGACTTGCTAGTTCTCTGGTTTATTCATGGACAATATTGTCCCGTCGTGGACTTTTTATTGTGTTTTCATGTATTGCACTTTAAGTATAGACGTACTTAGGCCATGTACTGTGTTATTTAGTTTGTTGTCATGTACTTCTATTATCATGGTGTCATTTGTTGTGCCCTAGTATTAGACTTTTCATTGTGTTATTGTTTCATTCCTTGTGGTCATAATATTCATTTAAATATTGCGGAGCTACTGAAACGAGTTGGGTAATGGAAATAAAAGCTAACAAAGTAGTGCAGTACATAATTGAACACGCACAACACATGAACTGTCATGTGAGAACATGTACC